ATCATTGCCGAGGTTCATTCAGTCAATTTCATCTTACATAAAACATGATCCCCAGTACTATCGCAAGGAAAATATCTTGGAATGACTGCACAGGCTCCAAGATGCGCCACGCATCCAGCTTCCACCAACTCAGTAGCATATGAATTCGCTCTTTCTCTAACAGTGGATTGGCGAGGCCGGCCGATCTACTCCCCACGAATTGACACCGAATTAAGTTGGGCAATCCCAACAGCTCGGGTAATTTACCCGCACCTCGAATCCTCGCTTTCTACATGTTCAGCCATACAGTGCAAGAGTTTTAGCCCTGATGTTTACGTCTTACCTCAGAAGAACGCGGAAGAACTAAGCATTTCACCATGAAAAGTGGGTTGGGTTCGTCAAGTTTTCAAACATTCTACTGCGAGTTGGATCTTCTCCCCCATATTACCCTTTGGAAAAATCAACCACTGAATTCTCGGACCCCCAAGTTTACCACCTTTTCCTCCTCCAAGAGGATCAGGAGAAGCTGTTAACCCCATAGAGGATGTTCCGACACATGCCCAACACTGGCTCAAACTTACATTTGATGATGTTGTCCGGTTGAAAGAGGAGACTGTACAGGTTGATGTTGTTGAGGAGATTGGACTACCTTAAAATGGGGTATTATATCACACCTACGCTAAATTACTTTTACATTTTGAATGGAGCACGCATTTAAGCCTTCTACGTGCAATCTTCCATCAACGTCCAAGTAAATTTATTTTTTATGGTTTTATGGGTTATCAGAACTCACCAACGTTATGTGATGTGCCAGTGAGTGAGATCAATGAGCAATAGCGTTACCGTACTTGACTAATAGCGCACTCTTACCATAGTTAGGCTTCGTTCATACTTTGCGGTAGCGTTCACCAGCGACCAATAGCGGCCACCAGCGTTCCGAGCGTAAGGCAGTACCAGCAACTAGGAAAGTATAGATATCGGCCTGCATGTGCCAGCGTCCTCCAGCGTCTACCAGCGTGGGCCAGCATCTATCAGTGTCTACCAGCGTTCACGGAGGAGAGGTATAGCACGCGATAGGAGAGGAGCAAGAGCTAGTGTTTTATCTCCCATGGCACAATACCTCTATGAGCAGTCTGCCCCAACGCTAAGCAGACGCTGGTGCACGCTAGCAGAGCGTCTGCTCCATAGTGGGCCATCAAATACCAACACACTACATGAAAACGCACCTTACTAGCGTTCGTGCACACCTGCCCTTGACTGAAAAAATTCGCCATCATCGCTCCAGAAACGGCCGATTCGAGATCAGCATCTTCAAAAATTATCAAGGATGCTTTTCCGCCTAGTTCTAATGTTATCCGTTAGGGCAGAACCAGATCAATAACTTAAACCTTCTCTTAGCGGCCCTCGAAACGCTGATGGACGTTGGTAACGTTTCGCGCAACCTTGGTACGCTGACAGATCCAGATCTCGCTATACTAATACTTTCTAATGCGCTGACGCTACCGGAGGCCCAGACCTGGTGGGCGCTACCTAAGCCGAGCGTAGTGAACGCAATCTAATTAGTCGTGAATTTAACGCCTTGTTAGAACCCTGTTATCAATGCCTTATTACTTGCCTCATCAATTATGCAGGCATAGCAACTATGGGCAACGTGACCCAAAGGTGAATAGAAGTAGTACTCATAGTGGATAAGCACCCTGCTGGAGACATAAGTGACGTTCAGCGTTATGCTTCGCAGAAACGAAGAACTCTTGCTCAAAACTTCAATTATCCTCGTTTGGACTGACGAATGCGGCCCAGAAGGAAAACCAGAAACAGCCAGCAGGAAACAGAACCATTTACTATAATCCAAAGCGCATAAAATAGTCAGATCGTTAAAGAATAGGTGAACCTCAAAAATGCTACCAGTAATAGGGAAAGAGGCATCCCAAATTTCTATCATCGAAAGACTACAATGGCTTTTTTTCATCACAAGTACAAACATAATTTACAAGGGAAACTTACCGACTGGTGGTGAAAGGCTGGACTTCTATGAGCAGGAGGTGTTATTTGGCATTACACATTGAGGTAGCCAATCGATATGGCACTTCAGTCCATGGCTTTTGAACATATTACTTGAGAAGAGGAAGGGATCGGACTCATCGCATGTGCGATGCAGATAACGTACAGAACAAAAGGATGAAGTTTGCCGTTAATCAACCTCCCTGGGGCGGGAGGCACACTACTTCCACTCAAGGTCGTAGTAGCTTACTGAGTCAAGAAGCTCAAAGCAAGAATCTGCCCAGTTCCGCTGTTCTCAGAGGGTGGGGGGGGGGGGCAACGGTTGGAAGGATGCGTGCTTGGCGTGGTAGTCGACAGGAGTTCGGATCTCACGGGCCCGCAGCGAGTGGTAAGCATGCCATTTGCCACTACACACTTTCGTTTTCAAAATAATGGTTATTGCGCTGAATATATGAACCACGAGGTACTAATGATAAGTATCACACATGAGGAAAGGAGCAGAGATAGACATATGGCACGATAATTTGGTACTTGGCCTAAAATGCCAAAGGGTTTTATACTCAGGCGAAAAATGACACGTGAAACGGTGCAAACCTGGAGAAATAAGAGCCTTCGCTCTTCGTGACTTCAAAAGCAATTTAGCAAAGAGTTTTCCTCAGGCAATTTTACCAATAGCCGCTTTGGGGTAGATAGGGCTGCACGTATGTACTCAAATATCCATAGAGCACCGCAGCCGCTTCATATCAATCCCTTCGCTTCAGGCTGTATTTCGTGGGCGGGCGGGGCGCGGAGGGCATGTCGCGTACCGGTCGGTAATGTATGCAGCGTTGACGCGATAGCTTTCTTGGAGAGGCGGCCACAGCTGCTGCACAGAGACCCGGTCGTCCTGAAAGTGCGCACTCGTCCTGCTCGTCTTAGGGACTTATCGTGTCAACTGCCTCTAAAACGATTCAATTAAGCGTTCCCGCAACCCATACATCGCAGGACGGTTGTCGGCGTTCTGAGGAGTCGCTCCAATGTTGCTGAGTTCTAGCTAGCAACTACTTCGGAACTGCAGATCATAGGTTTTCGACTCATGTTCAGACGAATCCTCGACAATTTTGTAAATGGAAATCACTGCGGAAATCCGTAGCTACTAGGATTCGGGTACTGTGGACTTGACGGAATCGTAGCTGCAGGACTGCAGATGACGTTAGATTGCTGCGAGATTGGAAAGGGAACTGGGGTGGAAGCTTAAACATTGTAAAAGTGGACTGTAACATTTATGGTGAAGATAGATAGAGAAAACTTACGTTTTGGTTTGGGAGGTTGAGGAGGTTGAGGAGCAGATAAGGGTTTCTGCTCAATAATCACATTTGGATTGTGGGCTACTGGCGTGGATGTGCTTTGCGACGACGATTCGAGATGCGCATGTTGAGCTTGTGCCGCAAGGTTGGCTGCACGCACGGCTGCCACCTGCTCCTCCTGCTTCTTGAGTCGAATTGACTCTGCTTCCTCTTCCTCTGAAAGGGAGCTTTTCTTACTAATGAGGTTATCCATGTGAACCGGAGACAACTCAATTCGCAAGCAGCTATGTGCCAGCATAAACAACTAAACGCAAAGGGGAATGAATCGGTGTATCTCGTGGATAGCCGACGATTACCAAGAGGCCCATAATATTAGGTTTGGATTGATATGATTCGACAAATGTAGTGGATGGTTTCGTCATAACTCAGCAAAGAGTGAACGAAAATGGACGCGCGAGGAACCGTTGGAAAGAATACAAAAAGCTCTTCAAAATGCAATTAAACAATCACTCCAAACTAAGTTTGCTTCCGCACATGCACGATTTCAAGCCGTCCAGAGACCACCTCCGCAACGTCATACTCTTTCTAACGCTATCTGGCCAAGAACCCGCGGATATCGACAGACGCCTAAAGGAAGTCTACAAGGAGCATGCCCCCGCTAGAAGTACAGTCTACTTGTGGCATTCGAAGTTTGCGTCGGGCAACTATTCCATCGAAGAGAACCATGCGAGACGCCCGAGGGAGCTGGATTTGGACTCGCTGCGGAAACAGGTGGAAGTCGATCCGTATCAAACCACTCGAGATATGGCGACCGCTCTTGGAGTGAGTCAGACTACTGTCGTGCGGCTTGCAAGACGAATCGGCAGAGTGCTGAATCTCGCTCGATGGGTACCTCCATTGGTCCTGACGAGCCGGACATGGAATCGCGGTGGCGAGGTCGCACTTTCGTTGCTCACCTTCAAGCGCCACCACCATTGGCTCGACGAAATAATCACTGGCGATGAGAAGTGGGTCCTCTACTCTAACTCTCACCGCCGTGCACAATGGGTCGACAAAGATGCCGACGCAAACGACGTCCCCAAACCCAGTCCACACCCGAAAAAGGTGATGCTCTGAATTTGGTGGAGCGTACACGGCGTAGAGTACTGGAAACTGACTCGAATGACTGTGCAACAGTGACCGAACCGACGTCTACATTCGTCAATTACGAGAATTTGAAGGCAAATGTCCGAAATTCGCAACGGCGGCGGTCCCATGTCTACTTCCAGCACGACAACGCGAGACCGCACATTGCAAGATCGACCAAGGCCGAGCTGCTGTCGTACAGTTGGACTGTGCTTCCACACCAACCGTAATCTCCAAACCTGGCCCCTTCGGATTCCCACCTTTTCTCCCACCTCCAACGCACCTGGTACGGCAAAACTTTCAAAAATCGCGACGACGCGGAGAATGCGCACTGAGGCGCCCCCGGCCTTTCTGGACAGAAGGCATGCCACGATCTGCCTATTCCGGTGGCAGAAAGGTTAATCGGATGAAGATGGAGCATATTTCAAGTGAACCCAGATGTCGTCAAAGTTGTACGATAAAGAAAAAATTTTTCAATTTGTCCGAATCATATCGACTCAGCATAATAGTTCAGAATCACGTCGGAGTGCCATGTTTCCACACTCGGCAATTTGTCAAGAAATAAATCAAAATCAGGACCTGTCCCAATCATTTTTATCCCACATTTCTTTCACTTTCTTTTCCCTACATAACTTTCTTTACATTGCAATGGCCAACAAATCTCTCCAGCGACCACTTTCTTCACCGAAAGACCCTGACTCACCCTCACCCCTCTTACACGTCCATCGTCAAAAAAGCTGTCAATTCAGGAACACCCTTGAACTCAGGACCTTACTCATACTGCTACCTCATATTACTCTTGAAGGGACATTTTCATATTTCTGCCTTGTGTGTTCTCAACTGAACTCTTTCGGGTGATACTCCGTCCCACAGCTTATTCTGTCCTTCTTCACCACCATTTGTGACTCAAAGAAGGAAATAAGACTCTTCTTTAACGGCTCATCCCAGAAATTTCAAAGAATTTTCCAGCGGATCTGTTTTTTTTCACGCAGGAAGAAAGCCTGGAGCAAGCATCACTCGTTAGGCGCAGTTCGGCGACGGGGGAGGGGGAGGCATTTTGCACTTTTGCCACTTCCCGTCGACGTGTCACCTATCTAGACAGCCTCTTCTCGAGTTGACAGGTTTACCATGATGGCTTGACGACCTTGCTCCAGCTTCACAAGAGTTCACAGGTTTCACCAGAGTGAGACTTGTAAACCGGAACTAGTGAAGCAATGATAGTACAAAATGCCCCCCCCCCCCTGTCGCCGAACTGCGCCACTCATCACGTCGTTCAAGACAAAACCGAAGGAAACATGCACTGCAAGCACGAGAGACCATGCGAAATACTCAACACTAGGTGGACAGCATTCCCACTTCTGAATA